CCTCCTCACGCGCTCCATGTTCTCCCGTGCCCTGAACCAGCGTGTGCGCGAGGACCGGAGTCGCAAGAGGCGCCCCGGGGAGTCGGCTGCTCCGGAGTGCTGGCGGCTCTCAGCTCGCTGGGGCGGCTCTCTTCCCATTGCCGTGTGGAGCTCGCAGGCAAGAAGTGACGGATGCTTCGCCGTCCGGGTGCGCCGCGGGAGGCCTGCGTGGAACCTGGCAGGCGTGGTTGAGGGCGGGGGCGCCCGAGAGAGGTTCCGCTGTCGCTGCGCGCTTCCGTCGACTGCGCCTCGCCGAGCCGCCCTGGGCACCCTCGACCCGTTCTGGGACCTGGAGACGGTTGGGCCGATGCCCGGCCGCTTCGAGCCCGCCCCTTTACGAGCCCAACTTCCAGTTTCAGGAGATCCCAGAGGGCCTTTTGCAGGACAGTGTCTGGAGGACTAGTCTGGCTGCCCCTTTGGTCTTTAAGGAGGGCATCAGGGACTTCGAGTCTAGGGCCGCGCTGTCTGTGATTGAGCATGCCCTGCGGGCCTCAGGGGCCTTCGTGCTCACCGCCATCATTTCGTGGACAACCTGGGACATGTTTTGGGCCGGGACAAGGGCAGGGTGAAGGATTTCACCCGCCTTATCTGCTGTGGAAGGATCTGTGGCCTCGAGCTCGCCACCTCGTCGCGGATTCACCGCCGCTGGATTCCCTCGGAGCGAAATCTGGCGGACAAGGGGTCTCGTCTCTGGGAGCACCTCGGGATCAAGCAAGGGGCAGGGGCTGCTGCCCCAGGGCCTGATGCCGCCTCGACGCCTGCGCCCGCAGCTGGTCTCCCGCGCGGCTTGCAGCCGCCGCCCGGGCTCCAGCACCCAGCTGAATGGGGCCACTCGGCCGCCAGCGCCGACCGGCCTCTCGGCCGGCCCGCCGCAGCCCGGCGGGCCCGTGCCCCCTGGGGCGCGCAGGAGGAGGAGCGCCTGGCCCGAGGAGCTTCAGACACGGAGGCCCGAGCGAGGCTGCGCCGGGAGCTGGAGGGGGGCGCTCGAAGCGAGAGCCTCGACCTGCAGCGAACCCGACCGCGAGGTGTTCCTGGGGGCCAGCGCGGCTTCGGAGCGCACCCGCGCCCCGTGCGTGAAGCGGGCGTCCGCCTTCGAGGGCTGGGCTCGCGCGATGGGCTTCGCACTGTCCTCCGCGAGGCTGGTGGACCGCCATGGTCGACTACCTCAACAGGGAGTGGATGGACGGCTGCAACGGAATGGGAGGCGGCAGGGCTCGACGCTGGGGAAGCTCGCCCTCGTTCTCGAAGGAGGGGCCCGACGAGCTCGTCCGCGCCGTGAAGGCGCTGCAGGGCTGCAGGAGGCTCGATCCTGGCAGGACGAGGCCTCCGCTCCCTCTCATCTTCGCTGCCCTCGTCGCCGCCGAGCTGCCGAGCGGGGGCAGGGCCCTCGGGGCATTGGCAGTCTTGGCCTGATTCTCGGCGTCCGGTGGAGCTCCTGTCGCTGCGGGGCACGGGCGCCCTGGCCCCCCAGCACTGGGCAGCCCCCTCTGCGCGATCCACCCGCGCCGAGCCGAGAGGGGGCGGCCGAGCGAGGCTGGGCTGTGCGACGAGGCGCTGCCGTTGGACTCGTCCACCCCCCTCCTCCTCCTCCTCCTCCTCCCCCTCCTCCTCCTCCTCCTCCTCCTCCTCCTCCTCCTCCTCCTCCTCCTCCTCCTCCTCCTCCCCCTCCTCCTCCCCCTCCTCCTCCCCCTCAAGATGTCTTGCCGGGCGCGCGCCGGGCCGCGGTGGCAGGGCCAGCGCCGGTCGGCTGCGACAGCCGGGGCCGGATGGAGAGTCGCCAGGTGGCCAGCAGAGCGGCGGGCCTCTCCGCCATCGGGCCCGACCGGTGCCAGCTCCGGCGCGGCGGCCCCTCCCGCGGCATCCTGGAGCGCCTGCGCAGCAGGGCAGAGGCAGATAGAGGACGGGTGCCGCTGGAGGGGCGGTCGCTCGGCTCGCAGATGCGAGGCTCACGGGGCGTCGCAGCTGCAGGAGAAGCTCGTCTCAGAGGAGCCGGGGCCGGGCTGCCAGAAACCTGGCCGACGTGGAGGCTCGGCTCCGACCAAGCATGCCCCAGTCGCGCTTGTGCGAGCCCACCTCGCTGGCCAGAGAACCCTCGGGCTCTGCAGTGGCGAGGCTGGCTCCCCGAAGGCCGTGGCGCGTCGCGGGGTCGAAGCGGGAACTTGGGGCTCAGAGGAGTGGGGCGGTGCCGACGTCCTATGGCCTCGTGATCGACGCCGACTGCTGAGAGACTTCCATCTAGACTCTTGCTGCTGCCTTGCTAGGCCCACTTCCTTGCCAGTCTTGGTCCGAGGCCCGCGGGGCCGACGGCCGCGGTCCAGGGCCTGTGCGAGGTGATCGGAGTGCATCTGGGGGCTCCCTGATCTATCAGGTCGCGACCTCGAGCGGGTCCTTCTCGGCAGCGGACTCTGGCTCGTGACGTTAGGGGCCATCTGTCAGGTTGCCCCCTTCAAGGCCCCCATCATTCTTGAGAAACCGTCCGCCTCAGACGAATGAACAACCTCACCAGATAGTTGGCGGCTCGTATGTTGGAAGCTCGCTATTGCCAATGCGGAACCAGCAGGAGAAGCCAGCTGCTTTCCTGGCCATCAGCTGTGACACCCTCAAGGGCTTCAAGGCATGCTGTGGGTCCAGGGGCCGCTGTCCAGCTGCAGGTCATACGCGTCTTCAGCTTGCCGGAAAGGATGCCGAAGTACATTCTCGTGCTAGAAGGGCCCGGGCCTATCTCGCACCTTCTGTCAATGCATATTCAGATTACCTCCTCTCTTTCTATGCTTATGCAAGATCATTGCGTGGAACACAAGCGATTGTGGCTTTGGGTGATTGTCCGTTCTCGGCTGGCCTTCGCACGATCCCGCCTGCCCGTCGCCTTCTCTAGTGCTGAAGCGTGCTGGTCTGTCTCGCAGCATGCCGCGACGGAGGGCTCAGTGTAATCGCGCGCGCTGGCGGCTGTGTTACAGCCGCGGCGAGTGCCCGCCCAGCTGCACAGGCGGCGAGTGCCCGCCCGGGTGCGAGCCAGTGCCCGCGCCGCGCCGTTCTGGCTTCGCCAATGCAGGTCCTTGCGCGGGTCCGCGCGGGGCCATTTTATCGTCCTTTGAAAGTGCGATGGGGTGCCGTAGCTAGTGTCATAGCTAAAGTCCCCCACTCGCTCCCCCGGCTCACATCCGATACCCTTACTTCACTTTTCCCTCACATCCTACCGTTTGCCCTATCATCTGTTTCTCTCTTCTCTGCCCATTGCGGATCGACGCCTGCCATGCCGGCGAGCACGCGGCAGCCAGGCACCCCAGTGCGTGGAGTGCTAGGCAAACGTGAAGTCCGGCAACGCCTTTTCAGTCCACTTCACGAAATGGACGGCCTGGATCTCTCTCCGCCACGTCCGGTGGAGGTGCAGATATCTACACCGGCAGCTCCAGGTACCCCGCCCGAGGCATTGGCAGAGGAACGTTCCTCAGGAGCATCTCAGCCTACCTTGTCTCAGATTGCGGAAATCATGAAACAACAGATCCAGCCCCTTCAAAATTCGATTTTGGGTTTGGAGCGGGCAATGTCGGATTTGGGAGGTTCGCTTGAGTCGAGAATGGCATCCACAGAGACTCGTGTTGAGGACATCGAAATCCGCATCACGAGCATCGAGAATGCAATGTTGACCGACTCGAGGGGCTCCGGCGCAGGGTCCCAGACGGAGGAAAAAGTCTGGGAACACATCAAGTCATTGGAGGACGAGCTCGCAAACTTCAAAGTTGTAACGTCCATGCCGACAGCGACCCCATCAGTGGACAATTCACGTTCTCTTACTGCCGTCGTCGGCGGCCTGACAGACTGTGGAAACGCCGACGACGCCTTCAAGCTGGTCGGTGGCGCTCTTTGGAGCAAGCGGGCACCTTATCCTGTTGACCACTACGTCAAGGGCGAGTTCAACGGCATCCTCTTCTTGAGGTCTACTTCTACAGTCGACCGGGACATCGCAGTGAAGACCCTCAAGGAGGCAAGCATCCAGCACGGCTCCCACAAAGTCTGGGCCAAACCGGATCTTCCTTTGGATGTACGTGTGAACCAGTCGTTTCTTTTCAGCGTCAAGCGCATGATGACTGAGTGGGGATGCGACCGCAAGTCGGTGTGGGCAGATTTGGACTCAATGTGTGTGAAAGTTGGTTTCGCTTCAGTCTTGTCTTCATAAGTTGATGGTGCCAAGCTCGTCGTTACGTTCACCACCGATGAATGGAAGAAAGAACTTTCGTGCGCGGATTTGGACAAGCTGCGCCTTGAGTCCGATGCGAAGCTGGCAAAAGGGCCCCCTCCAACCAAAGGCGTTGGCAAAGGGGAGCGGAAGAATTAGGAGGCAGCCCGGTCGAACAACAATGCCAGCGCGCAGGAGCAATCGCTCTGGATGTTCTGCAAGAATGCCCGCTGAAACGGCGATGACAAACTTGCAGAGGTTTTGGCAGAGTGCGGAGAATTCGTTTGGGACTGCATCTGCTTTAGCGAAGCTAGGGCCGCAGAGGGGGACGTCCTGTTGCAAAGGGGACACATCATGTTCAGCAGCTTATGTGGACAGAAATTTGCAGGAGTGGCTTTGCTCATCCACGCCCGCTGGGTCGACAAAGTTCTCGACTACAAGGCCGTTCCGGGCAGAGTTCTACGTTGCGACATACGCATTGGGAGGTACACCTACAGATGGATAGCCGTCTACGTCCCGCACGCCGGTTACCCGTACGACGATTTCATAGAGTGTTTGAGCGATATTCGTTTTGCTGTTCTCGAAGCCCAGAGCCAGAACTACTGGTGTGTGTTGGGCGGAGATTTCAATACCGAGGTTGGAAGAGGCAGGAGAAGTGCAATATTATCAGCTTTCGCCGCCGAGCTGGATCTTGTGATTTGCAACGTAGTCGAGGATGGGCTTCTAGAGTGTCAGTGGACACGTCCGCAGCTGCCTCGGACGACTCCGCCGTCTGGATTACGTCATGGTCAGCACTTGCACATCTTTCCACGGTGCAAAGCCGACAAACATGCTTGACCTCGGTTCAGATCACAGGGCGGTGCAGGTGTGCCCTCAAGCTCCGGCGTTGTCTGGGCGGGGGAGTCGACGGAAGCGCCGGCTGACGCACAAAGACATCGATTGGGAGATGTATGCCACCAAGGTGCCCCAGAAGATCACTGCTCAGGAGTTCCCTCCGGCATTTCTGGGCGACGTGGAGCGCATCGCTCTGCTTGCAGCTGGAGAGTCGCAGCGGCCCCGGTTGCCCGCCCAGCAGAGCAACGGGAGCAGCCATCTGGACCGTCTGCGAAGAAGGAGGAGATGCATGACCAACCCGGCCGAGAGACGAGATATCTCAAAGGAGATCTGGAGGCTGAGCCGGAAAGAGTCTCGTGCACGACAGACAGCCAGAACAACTGAGGTAATCGCTAGCTTCAGTGATCTTCGTCGCCTGGACGCGCTGCGCAGATTCCCTATCGCAAGATCTTCGCAACAGGGTCCAGATTTTCGCAAATGTGCCGACCTGTTGTCGGAGATATACACGTTCAGCGTGCCGCCCGACGCGGGTGAGCATGGCGAGGACCAGGTGCCAGCCGTTACTGTCGAAGAAATTGTGAAGGCTGTCAAAGCGATGAGACGACGCAGAGCTGCTGACACGAAGGGCGTGTTGCTGGAGATGTTTATCTTTGGCGGAGACGATATGTTGCACTACTTGTCTGACATGTTCAATGCAATTTTGCAGAGCGGTTGTGTTCCGGCTGACTGGCGAGAGACCTTCCTCAAACTTTTGCACGGGGGCGGGGGCGCCGCAGACCCGAACAATTGGAGGCCGATCGCGATTCTCAGCGTCTTTTACAAGATCCTTGCTCGAGTGGTCTTCCACGGGATGCGTGGCGTTCTAGATTGGCAACAGTCTGAAGGGCAGTCTGGTTTTCAACGAGACCGGTCGACTGCTGGCGCTCTGATTGTTGCCGAAAGCCTCGCGAGCAAGAGCCTCGAGTTCAACGAAGACCTGTGGCTGGTCAGCGTAGATCTGCGCAAAGCATTTGACAGGGTTGAACAGCCGGCGCTGTTCCGCGCTCTCCAAGCGCAGGGGCTCCCCTTTGGATATTGCCAAAAATTGCGAACTGTGCGAATCTCAAACAGGTGTCTTGGGTAATGATGTCCGGTTTCCTATCGCCCGGGGCGTCAGACAGGGCGACGTACTATCTCCGCTCCTGTTCAACAGTGTCCTGGAAGCTGCTATCCGCGAGTGGAAGGCGAAGCTGAACGGCCGTGGTCTGGCTGTCTGTTCGGACGGAAGCAAGGAGCGTCTGTCGAACATTCGTTTTGCAGACGATCTGTTACTATTCGCCAGCAGTGTGGAAGGGGCTGTGGACATGCTAGACATGCTCACGCAGACGCTTCGCAATTATGGTCTGGGGCTCAACGTGAACAAAAAGAAGATGTTGTCGACGACGGTCACGGAGAATGACACTGTTCTGATCGAAACTGCCGATGGGTTGATGGAGCTTGTGGCTGCTAGCAGAACCCACAAATACCTCGGGAGGGCGTGGCCGGGCAACCCCGACAACGCGGACAGGCTGCTATCGACCATCGCGTTTGCTGTGCGTGGTTGAAATTCCGTTCTCTGCAAACTTCGCTGACGAATAGGCACGTCAACGTCAAGCTGCGTCTGGAGCTCATCAACGCGACCGTTACACCTTCGTTGGTATACGGGCTGGAAACTTGTGCGCTGGATCAGAAGCAGCTGGACCACCTAGACATTACGCAGAGGAAAATGCTCCGGCGAATCGTCGGCCGGGTGTTCGACGATTGCGATTCGTGGGAAGATGCTGGCCGCAGAATGAAGCAGAGGCTCGAATCTGCCAGGCGCCTGCGCTACATTGCAGATTGGTCTTCGATTGTATCAAAGCGCAAGAAGCATTTACTGAGTCGTCTGATGTCCCATGCTCCGTCGCTGCCTAAACTAGCGCACGAATGGTTCCCTACTGCATGTGCGGCGCTGAACAACAGCCGGCCGCGTCGTGCCAGAGGCTGGCCGCGGCGTCGTTGGTTTGACGACGTGCAGCTCTGACGGCGCATTTTTGTTCTTTCTCCCGAGCTCTGCGCAGGGCCGACTTGTTCGATCGGGCGCAACGCAACGCAGCGCCCCCACTCGCTGCCGCCCTTCGCTCATTTGAGATGGGCGAGTCGTCTCCTCAGAGCTATCGCCAAAGCGGGGGCAGATCTCTCCGGTCCTGGGGTGAATGTCCGCGCTCAGTTGGCCTTCGCACGATCCCGCCTGCTCGTCGCCCTTTTTAAACTGCCGAAGCGAACTGGTCTGTGTCGCAGCATGCTGCGACGGGGAGCTCAGTACTCACGTGCACTGGCTGCCTAGGAAGAAGGTGTTGCAGCTGCGGCGAGCCAGTGCTCCCTGAAATGGTGTTGCACATGCGGCGAGTGCCCGCCCAGGTGCGAGCCAGTGCCTGCGCCGTGTCGTTCTGGCTTCGCCAATGCACGTCCTGTAAGCGCGGGATCATCTCCTTAACCGTCTTCTGTCCGCTGTTTACTACAAGCCCAAACTGGCGCCCCCCCGCCCCCCGACTCGGCCCCTCGATTCTCCCTTCCCCGCCTTGTGCTTTGCCGTTCTGCGCGCGCCTTCTCTCCCCTCCTTGTCGGTCCTTTCGGCTTGTCCCCGTCTCCGCTCTGATAGCCTGCGGGCGTCTCCTCCCGCCTTCTCTCGGCTCTCGCCCCGTCGCCCCCCCCTCTCTTGCCCCTCTGCTTGCAGCGCCTTCCCCCCCCCCGCCCTCCCATGCCCTTTGGCCGTTGAGGGGGGGGGGTCAGCAGCCTTGAGGAGGGTGGAGGGTGGGGGCTTGGAGGTTGAGGAACTCATGAAGTCCAGAACCCGGATAGCAAGGCGCCCGAAGGGTGTGGAGAGGCCTGGCGAAGAATTTTGGAAGGACTTGGAGAGAATTTCCGGGCACGCGTATTGGGAAAAACTTAGAAAAAAAGGCCCTTCGGGACGACCCGCAGCTTCACACAGCCTGCGCTGGGAGCCTGGGCCGACGCCGGAACAATCTCCGGGGCTACCATGCGGCTCCGGCCTCTTAATCTGAAGCCCTCCTAGCTCTCTGCGAGCTATCCGGGAACAAGGAGTGCACGGTCCTCCGTCGCCCTCGCCCTCGCGCGCGCGGGGCTGGCGGCCCTCCGACGTGCCGAGACGGCCCGCCGCCGCGCCGAGGAGTCGACGAGGAGGAGGAGGAGGAGGAGGAGGAGGAGGAGGAGGAGAGAGAGGAGGAGGAGGATGAGGAGGAGGAGGGAGGAGGAGGAGGAGGAGGAGGAGGAGTGCAGGAGCTGCATTTTCCGCCGCTTTCTGGGGTGAGGTGGTCGGGGGCAGCTGCCCCCCCACCGCCCCGCCCTCGTTACTTGGGATTTTGTGGGAGCTCCATGCCCCTCGCACGGCCCCCCCCCTTCGTCCCAGGGGGTTCACGGAGGCGCCCCAGGCGGGACGTGGGTGAAAGGACCCAGGCCCTGCGCCTATAGTGGCCCGCGCGGATGCAGAGGCCCCCTTAGCTGTAGCCGCCGCTGCTGCTTGAAGCCCCCCCCCAGCCGCCTTTACCTGTTTTGCCTCCTCCTCCTCCTCCTCCTCCTCCTCTCCTCCTCCTCACTCCTCCTCCTCCGCACTCCGCACTCCGCACTCCGCACTCCTCCTTTCTTTTCTTCTCTTCCTCCGCCCTCCCTCCACTCTCCTCCTCGCTCCTCCGCGCCCCTCCTCGCTCCCCTCCTCTTCCTCCCCAATCCCCCCCCCCTCTTCCCCGCTCCTCCCCTTCCTCTCTCCCCCTTCCCCCCCCCGATCGCGGCGACGCCCCCGCCTGTCCTGGGCGGCCTGCGCGCGGCTGGGCGGGAGCGTGCCGCGGTGCCTTCCGCCGCGGCGCGCCCCTTGGAGGGCGAGAGAGCCCGCTCCTCGGGCGCACCGCCCTGGCGCAGCGGGGCGGCGGAGAGGGCGGGCGATGGCCGTCGCGGCGGCGCCCGCCGCCTGCGGCGACGGCCTCGCGAAGGCCGCCACTTCGACAGGATGATCCGAGGGTCGGGGGTGGGGTGGGAGGGGGGGGGGCGATCACTAGCGCGACTCCAATAGGGAGCAACTCAGGGACTTTCTGGCCGCGCCGTCGTCGGTTCACTTTCGGCAGGAGGGGGCTAACGGGTCGGGCTCTTGGTGGTGAGGTTTGCGTCAGGTTTGCGACCCTCCCCCTTCGTTTTTTTCCCGGTGGGTCCGCGTCGTCGGTGCTGACGGTTCTGGGGTTTGATCTGACTGGTCCCCCCGTGGTAGGGGGCGGGCCGGGACTCGAGGGCCAGGGGGGTCGAGAGGATGCAGGGCCGACGGTCCAAGGAGGGGGGTCGATGGTCGAGGATCGGGGGTCGAGGACCCGAGGGATGAGGATCTGGAGTCCAAGGAGTCAGGGTCGAGCACCCGGGGATCGAAGGAGAACGATGACGATCGAATGGAGGAGTACTGCTGGGACGACGACGGTGTTGTCGATGGTGCTGCTGCTGCTGATGCTGATGATGCTGATGCTGCTGCTGCTGCTGCTGCTGATGATGATGATGATGATGCTGTTGATGCATCTGATGATGCTGCCGATGCTAATTGTGGTGATGGCTATAGTGATGGGACGGATGATCCTGCTGATGATGCTGGTTATGCTGATGACGGTGGGGGTGCTGTTGATGCTGATGAGGGTGATTAGGATGATGGTGGTGATCATGATGATGATGACGGTGATGCTGACGATGAAGCTGAGGACGACGCTGATGATGACGATGTTGATGATGCTGAAGATGAGAATTATGACGATGATGCTGATGATGCTGATGACGATGCTGATGATGATGATGCTCACGATGATAATGATGACAATGACGCTGACGATTAGGATGATGACGACGATGATGACGATGAAGATAACGATGATGACGAGGCTGATGATAACGGTGACGACGATG